CATAGTTTTTTTTAGGAAGTGGGACGTAGCACTTTGCCTGATAGATATTGGCAAATGCCCAGTGTAGCATACAAGGTCCAAATTTTAAGACCTGAATCGAAAATATCGAAAGCATAAAAACCTATGCTAGCAAAGTCAGCCCTTTTGCATATTTTAGTGGTGCTAATAGTGAATGAAATTTTTGAAATAATCTAATTTAATTGTTATAGTGTTTAAATTATAATTCGTTACTTAACGGTTAAATATTATTATTGTTATGACAAACTTGATAGAAATGATCAACCAATTACTAATATTGAAATACTAATCTAAAATTAGTGACTAGTAAGAAAGAAATCATATTAAAGTGATAACCACGAAATAAATTTAATAACAGAGTGATCAAACGTCTAATTCTCCAATTCGTGCCTCGTAAGCATAACCAATTTTAGTTAATTATGCCAAACGTCACATAGTCTACCGGTGAACCATTAGTGGACGCTCGTTTCGTGAAGTGACAGATTTCGTGTTCGACTCCCACCAAGACCCGCTTGGTGTTCCAAAAAGCATTTAATGAAGATTCTCGTGAATGGCCCAAAGAGCTCAAACAGGTGAACTCCATATTTGATCTCGATCTCGTGAGAAAAAGAAAAAGATTTTAGTTAATCCTACTTTTTTCAGTCGATAATTAAGAAATCAAAATGATTTCATTCTAATGAAATTCCAAAGGACACTCCGCGCGTTAATATACTTTCCAGTTTCCCCATCGGTTCATTCCTCCACGGCTCCTCTCCCCAATTTCGTCTTCTTAGCCTCTGAAGTCGCTCCGACCCTTAGTTTCCCCCCACTCAATCCCTCCCCCGGCTTGATATCCAGCGTCGCTGGCATTCGATGAATCCCCATGGCACTCCGACCGCCGGCTGGGGAGGAAGAAGAGGCGGAAGAGGCCGCTCTGCCGCTGTCGGAGGCCGATCATCGTGGGCGCCAGTCCAAAACTCTCCTCCCACTCATTACAAGGTTAAACCCTACTCTAAATGGCCTGTGATTGTTGCTTATTGTGGCTGGTTCTGTTTGCATGCTGATGAATTAGGGTTAGATGTTGCGAACGGATTAGCATAGGCTGCATTTCTGACTACCCTTCCTTTCCTCGTCGCTAGATGTTATATCGTTCATGGTTTATGTTGGTATATTTCGTGGGCGTTGCACTGAATGTTTTTCTTGCCAATGGGAGGAATAGGTCGGAGGAGAAGAGAACTATGCTGATGATTCCAGTAGAAGAATGAGTGGGCTGTCACTAGGTAGAGGGAGTAGCTCTCACCAGAATTCTCCTGGCACGTTTCCAAGGGATTCTTATCAAGCATCTAAGCCAGCAGCATACGGTATGTTACAGACGATGAACCCATTTGAACTTGGAAATTCTGATGATGGGGGAAGCCAGAAAGGAGAAACCGCTGCCAAGGCCAGTGGTAGCGAGTCGGAGCAGGCTGAGGTAGGACCTGTGAATAGGACATCTTTCGATATCTGTCCGCCCAAGACTGGAGGTCCTGTTAGGCTGAAACCTTCTTTGTCGGAGGTGAACAAATTAAAGAGGAATATGCAGCGCAATATGGAAGGGAATAATGGAAGAGTATTGAGGCCCGGGATGGTGCTTTTGAAACATCATCTTTCATTGGATGATCAGGTACTGCCTTTTGCATTTCCTTCCCTTCAAATCAGTTTTCTAGGGCTTTTTCAGCAGGTAGAGAAACGTTGAAAGGTAGGTAGGCGTAGAAGTTTGAGCTGGCTTGGCACTAATGTAGTAGATGCTAGTATATTAGTTTCAAAACTGGCCGAAGGTTCGTTTATACGTTTGACCTCTGATGTAGGGAGTGACACAGCAGTAAGTAAAGTCCTGTTCTGCAAGAAGTCTTTGCATATGAGTGAAAACAGATTCTTATCCTAGTTATTTTGCGTTATACCAGGTTCATATTTTTGCCTGGAGAGTTGACTGTGGGTGGGGTTATTGCTGTACTTCGATTTGCTACCGAAAATCCCTTTATTCATTGTAGGCATCTCTCCACTTTCTTTGTGCTCTAAACTTTTATCTTGTATCTCTACTTTTTAGGTCAAAATTGTGAACTTATGTAGAAAACTTGGTGTGGGCACTGGAGGGTTTTATCAACCGGAATACCGAAATGGTGAGAAGATGCATCTGAAAATGATGTGCCTTGGCCGTAACTGGGAACCTGATGATGATAAGTACGTTGAAAACCGGAATGTTGATGGAGCTAAACCGCATAGCATTCCTCAAGAGTTCAGTCTATTGGTTAGAGATGCTATTAAAGATTCTCAAGCGCTAATAGAAGAAACCTGCAAACCTGGGAATGTGGAATATGTCCTTCCATCAATGTCACCAAGCATCTGTGTAGTAAACTTCTATACAGCATCTGGCCGGCTGGGTCTTCATCAGGTTTGTAGCAACAAATTTCCTTGTATTTCTGTTACTTATCTGACTTCTCCAACATCTCACAATTTAGTTTCCCCCTTGTATGAAGGACAAAGCCGAAAGTTTCGAAAGTCTACGGAAGGGGTTACCGGTGGTTTCTTTCTCCATTGGAGATTCAGCGGAATTTGAGTATGCTGATCAAAGGGACGATAAAAAGGCAGAGAAGGTATTGTTGGAATCTGGAGATGTACTGATATTCGGGGGCAAATCCAGAAATATATTTCATGGTGTGACGAAAGTTCAGCAAAACACAGCCCCAAAGGCATTGCTTGATCAAACCAATCTCCAGAAGGGGCGTCTCAATCTGACTTTCAGACAATATTGAAGAAGGAAGAACGTTCGAAGATGGATAGAATTGCTTCTGCAACAAGCAACATGGAGAAGATTCTGCTGAAAGAATATTATCAAATGCACGAATGTAGTATAGGATAACATTGTAGAATATCAATCACCCTGTGATCTCAGAATATGACGCCTCCATCTCACCTTGTCAAGCAAAGAGATCTATCTGGGTGCCTCTGAAAGAATTCGATGTTGCCTTTCGAGCTCTCCAATGTAAATCTGATGATCACCCCCATGTGAATTTGCTAAAATCTTGTTCAGAAAAAGCGAAAGGAATTCGCAAACTGGATGGATTTGTTGAATCTCGTTCACTCATGATTAGATAGACAAGGTTACTGACTGTTGCACTCACAAAAACCAAACTGATAGATTGATTGATGTAGTCTTCCACATTTCCCAATATGAACAATTGATTCCTGAAGTCTGTAATCCTAATCACAAACAACAGTTGATATGAAACTTCAATCAATCCGAGTATTATCCACACACCTGAGGTAAACGTTCTTACCTCTGCAATTCTTATCATCATCACCCCTCGCTGCAGTCATCTTCTTCCTCCCCGCCTCCCTTTTGGACTTTGATGATTTGTAGCCAACACGGTCAGCATAGGAAGGGGGTATTGACAAGTTACTTGCAGAAGGGGTACTAACATTTTGCTTCCTCTTCAACAGGTATATCAGTATATGTTTGAGTGCTGGTGCTGCAAGTTATCGTGTTCAACAAGGAAAGGTCTAGTGAAAACTTGAGCAGAATTTGGGGAGCTTGCCAATTTGTATTGGCCTTCCTCTCAAGTTTGATGCAACCCCAGTTCTCTTTTCTGAATTACCAAATCATGTTCTGTTATGTACTTTCAATGAGGCAAATCGATTTCCTAATTGTTACGACATGGTTATCACAAATTATAAATAAAAAAAGTTGAGGAAAAGGCTTCCTTCTGAACTTTCTGATATTTCATCCAAATCTATTAATATAGTTGTAACATCCCGACCTTTGAGTTGTGTCCAACTTAATTCGTGATTTGGGTCAACGACTAGGACGAGAATTCAAGTTTAATTTAAATTCTTCTTTTGGAAATGTTGAACCAAGAAGTGGAATTTTGAGAGAGTTAGTACATAAAGAAATATGCCGAAAAATCTAGAAGACGTTAAGAAACATACTGACGCATCACTAAACAATCCACCTTCACTATGCCATTGAGCATACTTAGATGTCCAACACTTAAAAGATGGATAAGATAAATCTGTTACTCAAATGGCACCATTTAGACTACACTGCAGATTCTGGTTCCTGCGGATACTGCAAAGAGACCATACCAGCCCCAATTTCAAATCTCTACTTCTCAGTCGAAACATTAAAAATGCTGCACTTGACCTTCAAGGAGAAGGAATATAATCATATCATCTCATCAGCCCCCAGTTCTCCCTCCTCAAGCTTCACATTTTCACCTCTCCTTTATTACTACCCTCTTTGACACACTCTCTTTTTCCTGTTCTCCACGAATCCTTTCGAATTCCGCAAAGAAGGGATAGGAAGGTAGACAACGGCGGATCCAGGACACAGCGTAGCACTGGGCCGTATTTCATTAAAAAATTAGATATCGTAAAAAAATCACAGTTTTTTTTACAATATCAATTGTACACGTCAATCTTTTAAATTTTAATATAGTGAATTCATCAATAATAGAGTTTACATCCACATCAATAGCATACTCTCTTTAAGATAAAATAGTTAACCAATTGAAGAGAAATTCATCGTTCATTTTGTTGCGCAAATGTCAACACAATCGACTAATCAATTCCTATTTTCAACAGCTGCTCAAGTAATTTCTTAAGAGAATAAACCTCATATTTCTTTTTGTCTTTTACGTTTTAGAATTTAAGTAGTTTTCATTGTTTGCTTTTCTTTATATTTCTTTATATGAGTTTTATTTTACGTTTAAATTTAGAGTTGTGATTTGAATATGTTCATCTTACCCATTTTCCTAATTACACACAATTTTATTATAAAATAACACTGGCCCAAATAGTTAAATCGATAAACTCGTAAGGGCTATACTAGTTCCGGATCCAGGGGAGGGCTGGGCCGGGGCCCGGGGTGGCCACCCCCTGGATCCGCCACTGAAGGTAGAACATGACCATCTAAGGTGTACATGAGCTCTTCTTTCTTTACCCTTGTCTTCAAAGTCAGGATCCGATGGCGGGAGACATTTCATCCAAATACAACGCTGCAAATCGTTCAGCAAACAGAGTAATAATAAGGAATGCTGATAATGAATTACCTTCTCCAGTAGACTTCCTCCGGAAGAGCAAAACTTGATGACCGCCAATCCGTCCAAAATCACAGGTGACCACAGTCTGGTAAGTCTGGAAACCACCAAACTTGTCACTGGAGCCTGTAAAAGTTTTGTAGAAGGCATGGCAACCAAACCATACTCCTCCAGAGTTACATTCAGAATTTCATTTAAGCTCAAGTTGTCCCCCTGGAGACACCATAGGAACAAGGACTCAACCAATGTTTGTATTTGGTCCGCTTTGGTCCGGTTCAAATGTCACTTCGATCCATTTTTCAGCATTTATAAAATTTATGGACCAAGAATCAGACCACGTTATATTAATTTTGATATGTTCATATTCAAATGTTGGTTTGATCTTATGCAGTCCAGTACGAACCAACTCGATGCCCTCCCTACTCTTGAGACTCTTTTATTGATTTTCAATAAAATCTCTCATCCATCAATTTTCTAAAAATGAAGGAAAAAATATTAAATTTTGTATGCGCTTTGACCTATGGGCATGTTGGTAGGGTTTGGTTTTTATGGTGGGTAATGAAAAAATGACCCACACATATTTATTTGTATCGTTGTAGGTGGGTGACAGCGAATGGTGGATGGGTTTGGGGGGTTTGATGGGTCAAATTATTTATAAACGTAATTTATTGCATAATCTAAGATCAATTATCACATTTGCGAGCTGATAGTTATCATTTTTTAAACGATCAATTTTATGTTGTAAATCGAGTAAAATTTATTAAAGATAATTTCAATTTAATTGAATCAATCATAATAGAAGTTTTGGTATAAGAAAAAATAGGGTTTTATTATAGAATATGCATTAACGAATTAATATATAATGTGATTTGCAAATAATGACATGCCCGCTGCCTACCCAACTTTAATGGGTGACAAAAACAATGACCCATACCCATCCACCATATCCACCCAAACATGTAATGGGTGGGTTATAATCGGGTGGGTCTAGTTAGGGGTGGAAGTTTGGTTTACCGCACACTTTGTGGATACCCATACCCACAATTTGTGGATAGTGGGTTGGGTGTGGGTAGCAAAATATTGATTTTTGTGGTTAGTGGTTAACCACTACCCACAGCGGTTTACCCACATTAACCACATTACTTATATTTATTTCTTCAAATACTTTGTAACTCACATTAACCACATTAGTTATATTAGTTTGTGAAACTTGGAAGACTAAGAATTAAAGTAGCTACCAAAATCAAATACGCACTTATTCTATAAAACAAAACCAAGTCAATGCGCAATGTTCATGTGAGATATTTTTATCAAATAAGCATTGTCCGTGTGGTATATGTTTATTGTATAACAAAACCAAATCCACATATATAGTCGGATAAATTAGTCGATTTGTTAAAAGAGGATGTTAGTCTGATACCCAAAATAATCTCCATTTCTCCACGAATTCACGAACAACACAACATGCAACCAACTATCAACAATACAAGACTATAATCGAGAATGGAGAATAAGCAAATCATTAAAAGCGGGCGCCTCCACTTATCAAGTCACTTTTGTGTTTTGCTGTTATTGCCATCGGAGGAGCCGTGACATGCAACGATGTTTGTCTAGTAATAGGTCACTCTGCCTCTGTGTTATCTTCAAATCTCTTTCCAAATCCATCTCTTCTAAATTTACGCTAACAAACCTATTGCATTCGAGATTTATAATTTATTTAACACTTTATTAACTTTCTATTATGCATGTTTTTGTTTTTGTGTGAGAAGAAATACAACATCACTATTTAATTATAATATAATTATATTTAATGTGAAATTTTTGCGGGTAACCACACCCACCCATTGCCCTAATTAGAGCATTTCCATTGGAATTGCATTATGACATAGTATTCATTTGCAATTGCATTTTTGCAAGCTTGCATATAATGCAATTGTGGAATGCAAGCCATATCATCTTTTCTATTATTAACTTATTCATTAATTTTATTATTTGAGTGTTTATGTTTTAATAAATTAAATTAAAAAAATTAGTTGCAATTGCAAGTTAATTGCATTGATATGGTACAATGCAAGTAAGACGAGTTGGATTAAAAAAATGAATTAACAATAAAAAAACAAATGCAATTGCAACAATGAAGATGATTTGGTAACCAGGGCACCCTTGTCGGGCTGTCCTGGTCGAGTCCATGGATCCGACCCGTCAATTTTTGAGAAGAAGCTAAATGGCAATACCGTAAAATGAGAGAAGATGGGAGCTCATATTTTTATTTTTTAGTTTTATCCCAAAACCGATTACGTTACCCGCCCACTACTACAGTGTAGAAGTGAAGCAGCCAACAGTCACTCAGTCAGGGAAAGGGGAACCGCTTCCTTATCATCAAGATATTCAAGCAAAAGAGAAAAAGGATTAATGGCGGTGGCAATCCGTTGCTTTGCTTCTCCGCCGCCTGATCTCTTCATCTCCACCAAATCCCATGTCTCCGGTCGGTACCCAATTCCCATCTCATTTTCCGCACTGAACCCCCTTCTCACTTGCGTTAGCCAAAGCTTTGTCATTTGATGATGTAATTTAATGTTCTTTCCGAAGTTTAGGAACTACTTAGTGGAAGTTAGAGTGTAAAGGAAATGCCTTCAGTAGAATCTGGAATTGGGTTTTTGTTAGAGGTGTAAAAGTGTTGATCTTGGTGGACATGTTGATAATGGTAGGTTGATAGGTTCGCTCTGGTTTCTGGTTCTGAGAGTATTTTCTTTTCTTTTTTTTGAATGTGCGGGTGTCGTGTCTTGAAGCGAGGGTTAATCGTGACTGGAGGCCTCTCAAATTATGTTGGGTAAAAGAATTGACTGTACCATGTGAAACTAGTAGTTGAAGAAGATAGTGTTTTGCTTGAGTACTGAATTTTGTAATGCCCGGCTGATTGATGCTTCATTCGTTTCGAATGATGTCAAGCTGTCGCATAACTGGTTAGGATTGCAGAAGTTTGGATGACTTGTGTTGCATTGTTGATCTTGCATATCTAAAGTGGCTTTTTTTTACTTCATTGTGATCTATCTGTGCAGGAAAGTTGCCTTGTGGCCTGTTCAAAGTTGACAAGCTGACATTGCCATCGTCATCTAGAGATGCCTCTAACATACCTTCCATTACTTGGCCGACATTCCTGGGTGCAAATCGAAGGCATTTGTCATCCAGTGGAAATCTAGATGTGTTCCTTGACCTATTTTCAGCTCATCAGGTACGATGGTGAGTCCCCCATTTTTGTTTCGTTTGCTTCCTGTCATCATCTGAGTCCAAACTGTTGTTTGATTTGTGTTCCTTAATGCTTTTGTTTGTAAGAGCTTAGTGTGAATCCCGGAAAGCAAAAATCTGAAATCCGTCACCTTGAACTATTAGGTTATGCTTTACAACCTAGAATGCTGGCATTAACAACGTACCAAATCTAGGACTTTTCCAATTCAAGTCGTAATGTTTAGAATACCGAGCCATCCGTTATGTCTACAACCCTGAATAGTCTCCCTCTTGGGATTGGTCTAGAAAGTCGAAGCTTACAAGATGAATGCTCCATTGGGAACCTTATCATTGTAACAGTTGTATGGTCCTTCCCTTACCGAGTATGCTACAACATTTGCAGGAAATGTACGTACGATCCTCGGCAATAGCATTGTTTACTAATGCTTTCATGATGGCTGCACCTTCTGAAGCCCTGGCTCAAACATGTGAGGCTGACAGCAACTCTTTCATGACCATGCCTGTGCTGCTGTTCGTTGCACTGGTTGGGGCCACTGTTGGAGGTTTGTCACTATCTCATTTCTTTCATGTCACTCAAAACTCAAAAGGTTTTCTGGTAAATCCATGAGGGCAGAGGCTATAACTTTTTTGGGGTCGATCAATATAAATGGCTACTAAAATTTGGGGCTACCAACAAATTTTAGTCACTAAACTCTGTTTTTTAACAAATTTGTAGACTAAGTTTGAAAATAACTAACATAGCAGCCCTGTTTACACAACTTCATGGAAATGAATGAGGAGAATTGGAACCTTCATGAATAGTTTGCAACCCACGTCACAGGTCTGGTGGCACGGCAGAGGAAAGGAGAACTGAAGCGTCTGAACGAGCAACTACGCCAGATCAATGCTGCCCTAAGAAGACAAGCCAAGATTGAGTCGTACGCCCCCACACTTAGCTATGCACCCGTGGGCAGCAGAATCTCGGACGAAGTGATAATTGATTCAAGGAAGCAAGAACTGATCACCCGTTTGAAGAGTGGGAAGAACTATTTGAGGAACCAAGATCCACAGAAGGCCTTTGATGAGTTCAAAGCAGCCCTTGCCCTTGCCCAAGATTTGAATGATCCCATAGAGGAGAAAAAGGCTGCCAGAGGCCTAGGTTTGTTTTAGCTTATACTCCTTAACCGGTTTCACTCATTGTACTCGGTTAGCTGACCAGGAATTCGTTTTTTTTGTCCAGGAGCCTCCCTGCAAAGGCAGGGGCAGTATCCGGAGGCGATACAGTACCATATGATGGTTCTGACGATATCGAAGCGGGAAGGAGAAGAGTCTGGAAACACCGAAGCTTACGGAGCCATTGCAGACTGTTACACTGAACTTGGCGACCTTGAGCAAGCTGGGAAGTTCTATGATCAGTACATTGCTAGACTTGAAACCGACTGAAAAGTCAACTAGATTATTGGATCTTGTGACCTATGTTAACTTCTCTTTTTGTTCAAACCTGTCGGTTGTTTCCATAATCTGCACATGTTTATGTGGTGGATAATGTTGTACAACTAGCAAATGTTCCTTGAGCTTTATTTAGTTTGTGTTCTTACTTCAATACCTCAGGCCGAAGCAACACAGAATGTGTGCGCCAACCAAATCCAGCTAATTTTGATCCGAAGCTGCTGCAGTAAAAAAAGATGGCTTGTTGTGGCTAGGGCCAGGGATGAGTTCAACTGAAACTGCGTTTAGATCAAATCGAAACGATTGCTCCATTCTAGTTTCAATTCTTAAGTTCCTATATATCGAGCCCATGGAAAGAACAAATGCAATTTTGAAGACCGTAATTTATTTGAAGGAACAGAACAGAGATGCATGAAGTATCGCAACACAACAGGTTTTTATCATAACATCTGCCACCTGGAAACAAAGACAAATTGCCGTAAAGCAACCATGAGAAGAACATTATCGTACAGTCAAACAAATAAACATCTAAAAAGACACTGTAACTCTCAACTCCCATTGCTCTGATATCATGAACTCCCTCATCCCTACAACAGTGAATGGTAATCCCCTAAAAAAAGGGATAGTCAGAAAACGGGGGAAAAAGAAAACAAAGAGGATTACATATGGTATAACATCTCCCCAATACAGATTGCACACACTCGAGTGATCATCATATATATATCTTGCGGGTGAACACTCATTTTCACCACACCAGATCAAAAGATAGAATAAAAGGCTCTCCTAATATATTCCCATGACGCCCCAGGCGCTCCAGAAAGAGTAGAAAAGGCAAATTATTACTGGTAATACATCATTTGCTGGGCGGCAGCAACACTCTGGAACCCACCATCGTAAATGGCTTGGCTTGCTCCAGCGCTCATCCCCATCGCTGCTTGTTTGAGGGGATGATGCTGATGTGGGTGCATCAAAGCGTGGACCCCGCCCATCTTGCTCATGGCCAACTGGCGCTCATACGCCAATAGATCGTTTGCTGTGAGACCAGGCATTGGGGCTGCAGCAGGAGGTGGGAGCGGATTTGAACTGGTCCCAGGTGGAGTCGGCTTGCTCCCCCAAGAGCACTACAAGAATGGAAAACCATTCTTGTAACAATACATGTAGGAAGAAGACAATACGAACTGATGAAGTACTAAAAAAACCTTACCTTTATTGGCTTCCCGCAGAGAAATGATTGTGTGTTACCCATCTGAATGGCAAGAGCAGCCTCAGCATGAGTGCTGTACCTCACAAAACCGAATCCCTTGTCACGCTGAACACGAACCTCCTCAATGACCCCAGCACCAAGAGAATGGAAGTGGCGATGGAGATCGAGCTGGGTAGCCTGCCAAATGACCAACAGAAAGAAACGAACAAATCTCTCAGGCAACAAGCTAAGAATCTAAAATAAGCTAGAGCAAGAAGAAAAATTGCTTGCCTCTGGAGCAAGGTTGCCAACATACACAGTTGTGTACTGGGGGTTATTCTCGGGAGCATCGCTGTTAGTTGGCTCTTTGCCATCCTCTGTGTAACCAATGTAGATGAATGTTGCAAAGATCAAAACTTCGTAACAGAAGACATCACATAACATTCGGTGAAGTCAAATGTCAACTGACCTGATGAGCCATTAGTTAATTCAACAACACTCTTGCCATCTGAGCTTAGCTTGTCGTCATTGGATCCAGCACCTTTTGTCGCCCAGTTGCACCGTATCTGCCTACTACCAAGCCACTTTCCTGAATAAAGATAAGGCAATTTGCATAAGCATGAAGGCAACTGAAAAGCAATTGAACATGGTTTAATAGTCGAAATCTCTCATTTGCTCCCCATACGTACCAGTTAGATCATTTATTGCACTTTGGGCATCCTGTATGGGCAAATGACACGTAAGTATATTGATGAACATCAAATGTATTGCCAAGATATTACTAAGTTAACAAGCATCACCTGTTGGTTACGGAAAGAAACAAAGCCAAAACCTCTAGAGCGTCCAGTCTTCTGATCCCACATAACTCTTGCATCACTGATACAGCACAAGGTAATATCAGTTGATTTGAACATTGAGAAATTTCAACATTTTAGCCTAACACGCAAGACAACATAAATAACTGAAGAGGAACTTACGAGCAAGTGGGGAAAACAGAAAAGCATGCAAACAGCGTTGCATCAGTGACCTCAGGACTCAAATCTCCAACAAATATGTTAAAGTGGCCTGTACAGAAAACACTTAGGATTTAAAAAATCCAGTAAACCACAAATATCAATCCTAAAACACAACCATAAGACCTACTTGAGGTATCTTCCCTCTGACCACTAGCATAGGCCCAGTTAACTTTGATAGGTTGGCCAAATCTGAAATTCAGATCAACAATCAGACATCCCATGAATATCACCAGAACAAGAGAGAATCAAAAGAACGACAGAGGAACAGGTAAGCATCCAGAGTGATATGCACTTACAAGTGTCTCCCATTAAGAGATACTATCGCAATAGCAGCTGATCGGCGATCAAAGTAGTGAATAAAACCATAGGAGGACTGCCAACACATATTGCAAACAGGTAAGGGATAGTCGGAGACTGGAATTTATAACAAATCTCAAAACAAAACTAAATGCAACATGTGGCTATCAAAAACAAAAAGCTGATGAATGTACCTTTTCCTTTCTTATAAGCTTGCAACCCTCAACAGGACCAGTACTAGCAAAAACCTCCTGGAGAAGTGGTTCAGTGACCTGAGTATGGATGTTTCCCACGTACCTGTAATTTTTACAAGAATAAAAAACTAGAATTTTAAAGAAAAAGAAGAAAAAAGATATATAAGTAAACTTATATGCAGGTATCCTCAACTATCACAAGGCAGGGGAGTGAGGAAATACACAAACAACTTGATCAACATCATTCAGTGGAAGGGAAGTCATTACTTACTAGTTACTATGCTCTAGAAACAAAAACTATTCTTGGTAATAAATAAAAATTCCATTGAACTAGGAGAAACGAAAACACAAAAGCTAAATTCCCATAAGAAATCATAACGAAGAATGCTATAGAAACATAGCAAGAACAATGGGGGGTAAAACTACTATGCAAAGTGCAAACACTCACACACTGCGGCAAGTGCTTGGATCAAAACCAGGAGGCAGATTTCCGCTGGGAATTGGCTCAATCTGGAAAAAAAGTGAAAATGTTTAAACAAAGTACTGAAGAACAAAAAGGAGAGGCATATGCCAACTTAAAACCCACAGAGGTACCATCAGGGAATGAATAGACGACTAAAACTACTGCAGCCCATCACTACAGAACATACAACTCTTAACAAAATAAAATCCACGAGTGAGTAAGCAGCAGTACCAGTAAAGTTAAGAACAAATGAATCCTATCCAGCGCTAAACAATAAGGGTCCCTCTCAAAAACAGCTCAGAACAGTAATTTCCAGTTCTCTTGACAGTAATACCAGCTCACGTCCAAATCCTAATCACACTTTGGGAAAAGTTTTTAACCAAAACAAATAAAAAAAATCAGAACTTTAACGGGTAAAAAAGCAGAGTGGCCACTATCCTGCCCGACCCGAGTTCAACTGAACAGAACCCCAATCAAACCCAAAAATATCCTCTACAAAATCACATTCCAGCTTCCCCAAACAATAAAAAACTAACCCTAGAATCGTTATTTCCAGCTCACAGTAACGCGTTCAACGCAATCACCCTAAAGAATTAAAAATCGCAGCTGGCGATCAAAACCCTAGAGCAATCGAAATAGGTTGCGGAGGGGGGGGGGGGGGGGGGGGGGAAGAAAAACCTGTGGGGGAGCGAGGAGGCCCGGATGGTAGAGAGACTGCTGCTGCATCAAAGCCTGCTGCATCAACGCCTGCTGCTGCTTCAGCCTCTGCTGCTGGTGCTGCATTTTTGTCCCAGCAAAAACCCAGGAATCGGGAGTGAACCAGTGGAAGGAGCAAAATCACGGGGAAGGAGTTGGTGGCGTTTGTTTCCTGGGAAAATTCCTTCTTCGTGGGTGATGATGTTGCTTTCCTCTTCTCTGATTTTTTTTGTTTTTGTTAGGGTTCGGAGAGGTGGAGAAGAAAAAACACGAAATAGTAGAAAAGGAAAGAAAGAAGAAGAAAAAAAAAATGAAATGGAAGAGAGAGAGAGAGAGAGAGAGAGAGAGGGAGAGCCTTCTCAGTAAAAGGAAAGCTTAGCTGACTGAGGAAGAGAGGCAAAGGAAAAGAAAAGGGGGCAAATAGAAGTGAAGCTTTCGCGGGGAAGTAATTTATACCGGTGATGTTTTCAATGTTGTGGGAAGTGATAGCGTTACGGAGCCTGTGACGGTGAGTTTTTTTCTGGGAGACGGTCGAATGGGATGGGGCCGCGTGTTGGACTGGACATGGAGGTCTGTGACGGGATGGGTTTGTCCTGTCCTGTGGGGAATATGGTGTCAACTCTCCGGTCAGTGAAAAAGGACTGATATTAACTGCGATTGTATTTCCCCGCAACACACGTCATTTTTAAGCAAAAAAAAAAAAAAAAAACCTAAATCAGGGGAATGGAGATGAAGAGCATCCCCGCCGCACTCGTCCACAAACCCAGCTCCACCGATTGAAGCAGCCCGTCGCACTCGTCGACGAATCCAGCGTCGTCGCACTCGACGACGTACCCAGCTCCGCCGCCTTCGTTTTTTTTTCGTGCATACCCAGTCTCTCCAAGTTCCGACGAGGCGAAGAATACAGATCGACCGCGGCGGCATCTGCCTATTCTCCCCCCAGAGCTCGTCCGTCGCTGAAATTCTCGCTTGGTTGCCCGTCCGATTCAGGTGTGTCTCCAGATTAGGGATGGCAATTTTGCCCATACCCATGGGTATTTTACTATCCAACCCAATTGACTTGGGTATGAAATCCAAATATATGGATATGGGTAAAGTTTGATGGGTTTGTACCCATACTCATTTACTTTGAGTTGGGTTGGGTTTATAACAAATGGATTTGGGTTTGTACCCATGCCAAAATACAAATTACAGTTTGGTACCTAAACTTAATAGATATGCATATTTAGTACCTAAATTTAAATTTTTTTGCATATAAGTCCTCAAAATATCGATGGAAAATTACGTTTTGGTACCTAGATTTTTTTTGTCTTACATTTTGGTGCCTAAATTTTTCAAGTTTTACAAATAAGTCCAATTTTTGCATGTGCACCCTCAAGTAAATGGATATCCATATCCAACCCATATAATATCCATATATAACCCAAACCCATATACAAACCCCAAACCCATACACACATCACCCAAACCCTACACATAATAAATGGGTCTACTTGGGTTTGGGCAAAATTACCCATGGGTGGGTAAATTGCCATCCCTACTCCAGATCCGTCAAAAACCCTAATTTCCAGCGATGCTTTTATCAAATCCCATCTGAGAAACACGAAAGCCTCGTCCGCTGCCAAGCCGAATCGCGTCGAGAGGCTCATCGTGAAATTGGAGAAGTTAGGTCTCATCTCATACTCGCTTGGCTCTCTGCACAATTACCGCGACACCCAGGCTGAAATCGATCTAGCTCGCCCGGAACGTTTCCCGCTGACCACATTTGTTCGCCTTCTTGGTCCTTGCGATGAATTACTCTGCGCTCGTGTTGGTGGTAGCTTCGACGGCTTCGTTGTGTGGAACCCATCGTCGGAGATAAGGGTTTCGCTGAAGATCGAATCGGGGGAAGGGAAGGGGAAATGAAAAAGTTAGAAAGTAAATAAGGCGGCTGCTCGCATTTACCCTTCCGTTAATTTTTTTTTAATTCCACGTGGAATTCACTTGTTTGAAGACAATAGCCACGTTGGATGGTCCGTTTGTCCAGTCAGCACGTTAACTAACGTCGTCAAACAATTAGATGGAAGTGGCTATTTATGGTATTTCGCCAAAAGTAGCTATATTTGGCAAAAACGTCAAAGTTTTTGGCTATACAAGTGTATTTGGCCTTGTTATTTTATTGTCACATTTGATTTTTTATCTACACTTTTGGATCTTGGATTATCATTTATTTTACCAAAATTAATCTATAAGTTTGTACTTTATTGTCCAAGGGTTTCTCAATTAGAAAATAGAATGACAAATGACACATTTTTTTAAAATTTGTTTCTTGATTTTTGATTTGACAGCAAAAAAACAGTAAAATCATGGAAAAAATCCAAAACTACCACTGTTAAAAAATTTTTTTACAAAAATACCACCCTCACCAAATAATTTCCAAAAATACCATCGTTTATATAAAACCGCGCCTCTGATGAGCGGTTTTCAATGAAACCGCTCCTCTAGGCTGCGTTTTCCCTTATAACCGCTCCTTGGACGCGCGTTTTTATTTTCCAGAGAAAACCGCTTCTGGGACGCGCGGTTATAGGCTAACCCTACCACAAAACGCTTTAAGAGGGAGCGTTTAAATGTCGGCATTACAAACCGCCTGATAAAGTGGCGGTTTACAATGTCAGGACACAAACCGCTCCCCCGAGGCGCGGTTTGTGCCTGGTCACCCGACACCCGACATGTCGGACATGTCGGCATGCAGGGGTAGGGCTGCATGGCAGACATAAAACCGCTCCCCCCCCAAGCGGTTTTGCTGCAAAATTTGCCTATAAACTAATAAAAGGCTGTTTCGGAGAACACAATTCTTCACACTTCCTTCCTCAAATTTCTGCTTTGCACCTTTAAATTATTTATCAGCTGTCGATTAACGGTAATTCGTAAGTTTGTTTCGTAATTACTTTTCTTTGTCTTTGTGATTTTATGTTAGTAACTTAATTACTTTTGATTGTCCTTTGTGATGTTATGTTAGTAACTTAATTACTTTTCATTGTCATTTGTGATTTTATGTTAGTAATTTGAATTACTTTTCATTGTCCTTTGTGATGTTATGTTAGTAACTTGTGTTACTTTTCATTGTCATTTGTGATTTTATGTTAGTATTTTGAATTACTTTTCATTTTTCTTTGTATTGTTATGTTAGTAACTTGTGTTACTTTTCATTGCAGATGGCATTCCAAAGGTTCACGCTTGGGTTGCGTTGGAATGGTTACACGGAAGAGACCGAAAAGGGTGTAAGTTACGTCGGTGGCAATTTTCATAAAATGAAGGTCCGTACGAGACTGATGCTTGAAGAGCTCCATCAAATGTGCACTCAGATTACCTGCATGGATGGCACTAGAAGAGTTGATCGAATGGTGTATCGATATCCAAACAGACATGACGGGTCGTTGTGGTATGAGGAATTCCTCCTTACCACTCAGGAGGACGTTGATGCCATGGTCCAATTTTTGACCACCAATACAATGAAGCAAGCGGAGATATTCGTTTACACCGAGGCCGTTGAAGGCAGTGTAGGTCATTCTGGAGCTGGCCAAACATCTTGTATCCACGGTGGGAGTGTATTATACGAAGATCATCCCCACCAGGATTTCCAAGACTCGAGTTGGAGTCAGGAGGAGTATCATCATGGAACTGGAGGAAGTCATCAATCCTTCCCTTCATATGAAGAAGAAGCTCAACAGGCGGATTACAACCAACAAGCAGGCTACCAGTACCCACCCGAGTACAACTTCTATCAAAGCGGTGTTAGTTACCACAACTACCATTACGGAGCTAGTGAAGGTCAAGGTGCCTTTCATGCTGATAATCAAGATGAAGAAGAGGTCAATCCAAGTCCAGTTAGTGACCCTGAGGTTGAAGAAGAGGAAGGCAAAGTTAGTGCAGACAGCTCCGATCCGCTGGAAGGTGCTGATGATTCCGGTCCAGATTCAGACGCAGATGGTGATGAGGTACCTCACGACCGTGTACCTATTCCATACTACAATCACATTCAAAGTGAAGATTGGTATGTTGATGCCGACATGGACCGACCAAATGTGCCAGTATGGGGTCCACTAACTGGCTTTTCGAAGGGCCAACAATTTGCAACGAAGAATGAGGTTCGACACGCTATTTCCACTGAAGCAATGACTCGGAGTTTTGAATGGCAGACAACCCATTCCGACACAAAGAGGCTGATGGTTCGATGCAAAAACCACAATGAGGGATGCGCTTCTAGGGTCTGGGCCATCAAGAGCAAGATAGTCGGTCATTGGGTCATATCCCGTGCGGTGAACACACACACATGTGTGTCATCAATAACATCCCAAGGCCATCGACAGTTGAAATCAAGGGTGGTTGCCGCGGCTATCAAACATCTAATTGAGGAGCAGCCCGACCTGAAGGTGAAAACCATCATCGCCCACATTTCTAGTCGTTATGGTTATATCATTAACTACAAGAAAGCGTGGCATGGGAAACAGAAAGCAATGACTGCCGTGTTTGGTGACTGGGAAGAATCATATGCATTCCTTCCCAAACTGATTTTGGCGTTGGAGGTGTCTAACCCTGGAACCATTTTCTCGCCTCGCTACCAAGATGAAGAAATTCAATCGCCGGTGGCTGGTAACAATCGCCAATTCAAGCGTCTTTTCTGGGCCTTCAAGCCATGTATTGATGGTTTTCCATACTGTGTTCCTGTGATTCAAGTTGATGGAACATTCCTTACCGGCAAGTACAAGGGTACTCTACTGATTGCCAGCGGAGCAGATGCAAATAGATTAGTATATCCATTAGCCTTTGCCATTATTGAGGGAGAGAATACCGATAGCTATGGATGGTTCTTCAGACAAATTCAGCTCCATGTCACCAGGCGGACGAACCTGACTATCATCTTAGATCGCCACGCCGGTATACGGGCTGCTATTTTAGGCTTGGATCCAGCCTGGAACTGGTCACAGAGATGGTGCATCCGGCATTTCAAGAGCAACTGGAACCATCATTTCAAGCGAAAGAAGCTTGCTGACAGTCTATGGTGGATTGGTAAGCGTTCTAATTAATTGTCTATCTGTAAATTTTTCCATCTTTTTGAAAGTATTGAGTGTATGGTTACAATACAACACTTATTTAGACTCTTTATAAAGAAATGCATGTCTAAGGAAATGGGGAATTAAGCGATCATCATGATCCCCCCATGACCTGGGAAAATCGGGTTCTAAGCGATCCTCGGATCCCCCCTTTTTCTGTCAAAAAGACTGTGTTTCTAAGGAGATGTATACCTCTCATAAGAGTCTTACGAGTGTACTTGTATTGCCAATAAGGTCGATCTTGCTTATCTTACGTTTTTTTATATTCATCAGCTGTCGCGTACCAAGAGAAGAAATTTAAAGAGAAGATGCAGAATATCCGTCAAATATGCCC